CATCTGGAAGGGACCTTCCACTGCAAGCACTGTGTCATACAATCCATGATAAAACCACAAACCCCACAAGCTGAAGAGTCCCTAGACTTCACTATTTACATTGGAGGGCTAATGCAAAAACTTGCTGCTGATGCTAGAGAGCAACTTTGGATGTCCCCCTGAAATTCACTGATGGTAAATTTACCTCTGTTATTATAAACAAATCACAAGTGGTTAGATACTAGGAAAATGGGTTTTGAAAAGCATGTGATGGGACTGAACACAAAGGACTGTCAACTACAGAACTAAAAGTCACGCAGAAAGGTTTGTGGGTTGGACAGCTTTAGTCTTCTGTGATTTCTTTAAAGTCTTTCTTTAGACAGAAAAATTCTGAACTGAAAAATTCTTGCATTTTGCATTAATATTTAAAGCAGAGTACTTCTGAATGAGCACAGATTTGTTACAGCTTATTAATAAGTTTTCCTTTACAATTTTTTAAAGAGCATTTTTTACGTAACCTGCTTGTCTTTCTATACATCATTTACAACACTGAGTGCTGTCGTTTCAGCTGCATCCGATACTCTCATGATTTTCTTGCAGGCAATGCCAACCCCCTTCAGCTCTCCTGAACACTTAGGCAAAAGTCAGCTTGATTTGTACCCCTGCAGACACCCAGCTGAGGAGGGGGAGCAGAAGCAGGTTTGAGAGCTCAGCAGGCAGCCTGAGTCTCACTGGCCATGTAAGTACAAGGAGGGTGAGACTGGAGGTGAAGTGCACTCTGGCATACACTGGGGCAGTGGGGTTTTGTTCTTCTACAGACAGGAATGAGGAATGAGCTCTCAAAAGTGAGAAAGGAGCCCCAAGGCTCCCTCCTTGGGCTGCTGAACCTGGCACATCGCAAAGTCTGGCAGCAACAAATCTTGTTCAGGTCATGGTGGATGGGGACAGGCATGCTGATGAAGGACAGAGCCCCTTGTCTTGCACACATAAACCCTGACTGGCTCCTTGTCTGAAAGGCTGAATAGTACTGTGCTATTTTTGATACTGATGCCATTTCTTTGGAAGGTGGAGATACCTTACTGGTGCCTTAAAAGATACAAAAAGTATTGTTCAATGCTAAATTTAATTTCTTGTCATTAAATCAGGCAAAGAAACTCAACTCCTTTTTTTCCCTGAACATCCAAACGGAAAAACACAATCTTATTAGCAGCATTACCCTGAAAGATCTGTTTTCCTCCCTGCTGCATTATGCAGCTTCTGGAGGAACTCTTCTCAAGCCCTGTGTTTCTGTAGTACTGCATTCAGAAGACCTGAAGCACAAGCCTGAAGATAAATATATCCCAGCACAATGAAGAGCCTAATTAGCATCCCAAACAGATCCACTATGGCACTCTTGATTAGTAATATTCACTCCTTTTAATAAGAAAGACCTCAAAAATAATAATTGCAATGTCTGTCATTAATATTATAGTGTGAGCAGAGGAAAAACATTCCCTTTGTTCCCACTGATTCCTATTATATCAATCTTTGTATGTGTAGCTCCCTGAAAAGCCTAGGAGGAAGCTAACAGTCTTTTTGGAAAATGACCACAGATAATTTTATTTTATAATAAATCAAAGATCTGATACTGGAAGAAATGTTGCTCCTTCAGAGATCCAGCCTTCAGTAAAGTAACCTCAGCTTTTTCTAAATCAAAGCATTTGATGGGATAGGAGTGCGCAAAACAAAGGGATCAGCTGATAGAAATGATTTGGACCATGAAGGTCTGGAACAGGATGGTATTTAGAGGTGTGGAAAGTTAACAATATTGAGCAAAAAACCTACAAAAAAGGACAGTTTCAAGACTAAAATCTCTTTTATTTTGCTGTCCTGCCTAACCAAAACGTTTGTGTAGCTGAACATTTTGCAAGGGAGAGCTGGTAGAGACATCTACAGTTAAAACAGCCAAGACTTCCAGTATTTTGCCAAAATTTTAACTACCAGATTAAAATAGTCCAAACTTGCTGTCTCCCTCAAGCTGCAACAAAATAACCCAGTAATGTTCACAAAAACAGTTATGAAAAAAACCAGAAGTATTTTTAATCAAAATTATTCACCCCAGCTTAAGTATCTGTCTACTTCAGCCTGTAATTTACCCTTTGAGTGACCATTTGATTACCCTTTTTGCCTCGCTGATGCTCAAACCTGGCTGCAGAGTGAGACCTGGAAAATCACTGCTCTAAGTGGATGCTTTGCTATCGACTCTGTGGAGCCAGTGTTTTCCCCATCAATACCAACCGCAGCACCATTACTGGCAGAGGATAACGCATCCAGAAGAGCCTTGTGGCAGCAGGGGCAGCAGCCAAGCTCTCCCTGGGGAGAGTGTGGATGTAAATCCATGTAGCTACATGCACTGGAGCTGTTTTGTACAGCATCGAGCCCAGGTTAATAAACCACACTTATAATAGCAATTAATTGTGCACATGAAACTTACTTAGTATTCAGTGTCAACATATTTAACTAGAACCATCCATGGTAAGAAATAAAATAATCAATGACCTGACCAAGAGGTGGCATAAATCAGTGAGAAGCACACACAGGTTAGATCAACAGAGGATCTGTCAGAGATTGTCTGTGAACTAATAGCATAGAACCTCAGCTTCAACATTGTCACTGAATTTTGCAGGTTCAGAATCCAATACCTACCATGTTTCTATGCCTATTGCCTGCTTTGAATCGCTGCACATGCTGATGTCCAAGGAAAATTTTGCCTTACACATCCCAGGAATAAATCACTGAGAATGAACTCCTTTGGGTGGATGTTCTAAGACACAGTGGGCTGTGATTATAAAACATCTCCACACTCTTGTATCAGAAAAGAAATAACATAAGAAGATCATATTACTTCATCAAAATTTCAATGTGTTTAGAAAAATATTTTTCACTCTGAATATGCTGCATATTGAGAGGGTTCACTCAAGCAGAGAAGGCACTCAGTTTTTTACTGACTACTATCAGGTGAGGTGGCACTCTACATTTATGAGGCAACCATTTAAAATGCACCAGGTTTCAGCTCCTTACTGCAGAGGTTAGGACTATTCTGCTGTGTTTCCTGGGACATATTGTTTTCATCTGATATGAATTGTTGGCACAGTTCATCTTTCCCTAATTTTTTTTTGCTAAGTTGTGAGGGTGAAATCTTTAGCATTTGCATATGTTTATATTTAATGCCCCTAAAGCTATAACTACCAAACGTTGTCCTCTTGGAAGAAAATGAAACAGGACAGCTGTATGTTGTCCAAAGCAAGGCAGCAAGTCAGCCTAAGAACTAGCTGGAAATCTGGACGTTCTTGGATTCACTCTTTACTTATCCCTAAGCAGCCAAGTCACATTGCTGAAGTCAGGAGGGAATCAGTGGAGAAACAAAGATGAGACCCTTGTCATCAGTTATGCTGTGTTTAGACATCCAACTGTGTAAACAGTTGTACCACAACAAAATTCACAGAAGTGGGAATTAACCTTGGTATGGCAGCCTGACCCAGCCATTTGCAACTGTATGAGGAGTTTGAGACCCTTCATGTGGCCTCACTTTCTATGACTTTAAACATCTTTTAGTGTGAAGAACTCTTGCTGTTAAAACTGACAGTGTCAGTACTTCTGTTTCCTTGCAGACCCAGGGTCCTGACACAGGTTCCTTTGATTACTGCCCTTCTCTCAGTGAACCAGCTAGGTCAGGGAGTCACAGCGGAAGGGGAAGGACTGTTTGGGAAAGGACAAAGAGCAGCTTTTTCTAAAGAAACTATACTTCCACTAGTTCTGAGATGCCACTACTTGCCTGCATTTCATGCAGTTACCCAAACATTTCATGTCTCTATATTTTGCTAACCTTGTATTAAGAACAACAATAATGAAGATAATAGGCCTAGTTTTACCTTAGAATAAAATCGCCTTGCACAGGTAGGCAGCCATGACCTATAGTCATGTAGAAGCCATTTTTTGGGAAAATGAGTTAAGAAATCATGGGAAAAGCCAAATAGAGTTGTGGGCCAGAATAACAATGTCAGTGCTTACAGACTGCCAGCTCTAGAGATCTGAAGAGAAACCACACAGGGATTCCTAAGGAGAATCCAATACTGTTTTCTAGCGAGTAACTGATTATGCCTCTCTGGAATTAAAATACTTTTTTGTTACTACTTATGTAATAACTTAATTTACATACAACCTAATGGCAAAAAGAAAAAAAAAAAAACAAATCAAAGGAAAAGAAAGTAATGAAAAGGACATGGAGCACTTCATTTGTGTACCCACAAATGCATCCATCTCCCATTCATTTAGAAGCAAACACTTTGGAACCACAAACAAAAATCCCTCTTCACTAACCCCCGTCCATCTGACATTCAAGCTGATACCCTCCATCTTTAATGGCTATAATTGCTGCTCCCATATCCTGTTAACTAGATCCCTTTAGCCCTGCCAGCAGTACTGGCCTTCATCCAGCTCACGTGCTTCTCATTCAGGTTCCTTTGTTATTTCCTTCCTGCACCTCCTTTGCCGTGATACGCCCACCCCAGCCCTCGCTGCAGCCTTGCTGCCCTTCATGGATTTCTGAAACCCTGCCTCTGCCACCGTGCCCATGAGGCATTTCTAACTGAGGATACTTAAGCAAACACAAACATCTGCTTAACGCAGCACTTGCCTCGGCTTCAGAACCCCTCTGACTGAGGTCTGCTCTGCTGACAGGCTGTCCCTGGAATCACTTGTCAGCCTTGCTGCTGTTCTCAGTGCCCTTTTTGTTTATTTCTTTGATAGGAGCAGGTTGGCAGCTCTTGAAAGTAAAATATTTTTTTAATCACATCCTAGTACTGGTGTAGGGATGGGCGCTCTCATTCCAAGCTTGGATTTGTTTAGTTTATGTTATAGGATAATATAGCCCGAGATCTTGGCTACTGCGTTACTGGCTCGAGTAGTTCATGGCAATGCAACGCCCTTTTTATGACTAGCAAAACTATTCCAGATTTTCCTCCGCTGTTTCCTCAACTCACCCTGGATAACTTCTTATCTGTAGCTTGCTGCCTCTCCCGAGACCAGCTCTCCGTGCCGGTGTCCCTTCGGAGCGGTCCCACACGTCCAAACTCCACATTTCACAGTTCACTAACAAAGTCCAAGAGGGCGGGCTGCAGGTGAACAGGGATGGGGAACCTACTCGGCCTGGAAAGCTCAGCAATTTATTTGGTTTTGTGGGGCTTTCACGGCTTTTTTTTTTCTTGACGGGGGAAAAACCATTTCTCCTGAAAGCATGAGGAGCTGGAGAAAGCTGAGACCGGGCACACGGTGACAGAAACTGGGGAGCACAGGGAGGGCACAAGGGCAGTCCATGGCAGAGGTTTTTAGACAGCCATGAGCTATGAAAGGGCTGGCCAGGGGATATCGGGAGAGGGAATCCCGCGCTCAAGAGCACCCGTGCTGCCTGTGCGCTGAGCTCCTCCAAGGCTCACTCCAAATAAAACTCAACTGCAATTTTGAGACCAAGACTGCGAGACTTTGGGAACCCTCCAGCGGCCTCCGCAACATCCCCTTTCTCCCGTCGGCTGCGTGGAAAGCAGCAGGCCTGGCGGAGCCCGGGAGCACACGGGGGAAGGGGGATTTCCTCCCTGCCCTTTTCCAATACGAGTAGTAACCAGAGGCGCGCCGGCGCGGGCATCCTCCGGGGGCACGTGTGCGGTACCTGCGGGTGCCGGGCAGCGCCGCGGAGCNACGCTCTTCCGATCTGGGGACGACGGGGGGCTCTGTCCGCGGCTTCGCGCCCTTGGCGGGGAGCGGCGCTGCCCGGCCCCCCCCGCGCCGGGCCGTAACCTTGGGCTCCCCCGGCCGTGAGGGACGGGCGCGAGCGTGTGGGGCTGTCACGAGCGTGTGGGGCTGTCACCTGTGAGGGTCTGCCGCCGTGTGGGTCCCGCACATCCGTGTGGGGCTGCCGTACGTGTGTGCCGGTCACATACGTGTGTCTGTCACGCGTGTGGCTCTGTCGTGCACGGGTGCGTGTCACATAGGTGTGTCCGTGCACGGCCGAGTGTGACACGCATGTGGGGCTGTGCACACACACGTTCGGCTGCGTGTCACGTTCTCGTGTGCCTGTGCACACACGCGTGGCCGTGTGCTCCAGGGCAGGCTCCGTGTGTGGGTCCCTCCGTGTGTGCGCCTGGAGTCTTCCCCTCATCCTCGCTGCTGTAGTTTCTGAGTGTATCCGGATTTTGTCAGTGCTGGGCGGTGTGACAAATGTTTCTGTGTAGTTAAGTATAACTTTCTTTCAGTGGGGTTTTTTTTTCTTCCTTTTCTTTCCTTTTTTTTTTCTTCCTTTTTTTTTTTTTTTTTCTTCTTTTTCCCTGGGAGGAAGGCAGACTCACCTTTGAAGATTGATTGTTTTCTTTCATATATATCCAAAGTTCTCTGGGGATACAAGTGCTCCTGTTGCCTCTGTGTGGTTATAATTTACAAGACGTTTTTAAATCACTTAGTGCTAATTTTCAAAGCAAGATGCAAAAGCAATGTTTCCATTTCTATTCCATAGCCATTCCAAGGTTGTGCACTGTATTCCATGCACGACTTTGAATTATGTGCAGACACCTGTTACTTAATCCTGTTTATCCTTTCTAGTTACAGTTATCCAGCCTTGTCTTCTTTTTTTTTTACTAATCTTAGAATAAATTACAAATATTCTTTTAGGTTGGCATCTATTAGAAACCCAGGGATCTAATGTGCTTGTAAGGTATTTAATGTGCTTGTTAGGTAATACTTTCTCAAAGGGGGATGATTTTAGAAAGTTACAGAATAATCATTATCTCAGGGGGAATTTATATAATGTTAACATGTCCATGGGGATGCATCTGTAGGAAAGGTGGATGGTAGGGGCTACACAGAGTCAAAGTCTTGCACATTATAAATCTTCAGTGAAGTGTGCATCGTCCTCTATTAACATGTAAATAATATTTGTGTTTTTCAAACTTCACTTACTGTTGAACCATGGAATTTTTGGTTTAATAATTGGTGTTAACGAGGGTCTTCAGGAAAACATCACATTTCAGATCCTACGAGGGGATGGAGCAGATTCCTTCATAACACGTTTGTCTTCAGGGTTGTATTCTGGAGTTTAACTGAGCAGTGTTAGTAAGCTGACACTACTCACATCAGGTTAATTTCTCCAACTTCTGGAAGTGTTATGGCCTCAGTACTTGCAGGCTTTCACCAGATCAAGGGTACCTAATAGTGCCATGTACCACAAAATAATTACTGTTATACACAGCCAAGCAATTTTGTATTGTACAGAGACAGTTCCTAAATATGAGTTGAGAACAGATTTATTCCTCCCTGCAACTGGTAACTTCATGAAGTAATTAAAAATAAATTACAGAGCTCTAGGATGAGAATTCTCTTCCACAACCATTAATATCAGTGTGCCTTCGTGTGTCAGTTTTGATTCATCTCTTGATGATATTGCTAAAAACCATGTATTGATAGGAAAGTCAAACCCCTGGTGAAAATATAACTGTGTGGCTGTCAAAATAAAATGTGAGGATCTGATTTGATTGCTGGCTGTGGATATGCACTTGGTAGAGTAACAATGCCTTTTATTTTAAAGACATGCACCCACGCACAGGAGCTTTGTTCTAAAACAGTGTTTTCTGTCATGAATTTATGCATAACCTACACTCTCTGCTTTTTCTTAGAATGCAGGGAAGACAGAACCTTGCAGGGGAAGAGAGAAAGACCAAAAGGGCAGGAAAGAGAAGTCATTTGAATTTCCCTTACGGACAGAGGAAATACTTCTTTGTTATTTTTCACACAAAATATTGTGTTATTTTCACCTTTTCAAAAACAATGGCAAGTTATTTGGGCTTGATATACACTGCTGACTTCTGTTGCAGATTTTGGGCATTTGTTCCAGTAATATCTGGCTGTGATGGTGAACTTGGGGCTGTGCTGGAAGTCTGTCAAGTATTTGTTACAGCTGTGTAGGAGCTGATGGCTTCATTTTCACTAGGCTTAGGTATACCGTGTTGAAAACTTGTAGGGATATAAGTTTTGTACTTACCGAAATGACTTGTTTTATATTTCTGTTTCATTTTTTATCTTGTCATTTTTTGTGGGCTTTTCGAATTGTTTGCTTTCCTTGGTGGTTTTAACAGCTCAATTGCTATTCCTTCCTCTTCGTAGTTTGCCAGAAACTGAAGTCTGAAACTGCTGTTTTAATATTTTCATTAAAATTGGATTAATCCCTTTTCTAGTGGAAAAGGAGGAAGGGACAGAAGAGTACTTAGGAGAATTTTAGAAATGAGAACCAAAACTTAATGCAGGCATCTTACCTAAGAGAGACTACTTATGAAAATTGTACCTCATTGATTTTGGAAAAGACTGGTTTCCTCTGTAGTTTCAATCTTCTGTCCCATTAGATTTTGGGAAGTGTTGTAAATTGGTTTAGAAGTGAAATTTTCCAAGTCATAAAATCTCTGGTTGGTTGTTAGTGGAAATCATTACGGAAGGGTTGCATAAGCATTATTTGTAGGATGGCTAATCAGCAGCCTGGGCTTAGTTCCATTCTCTAATAAATAGATGCATTGTGCTACTTCAAAAATTGCAAAATTGATGGCTTGAGTACATTTACTAATTTTGCAAGATATGTAATGCATCTGCTTTGGGGAAGACTCTTTGATGTCTGCAGAAGTTGCACACAGTGGAGGTGTTTATGATCCAGCCAGTTAACTCTTCAGAAGTTTTTTGATTATACTATTTAGGACATCTTATTCTTATGAAAGATTCATGCATAGCACCACATCAGAATTACCTATGTGCACACATCAAAGGCTCAGATAATATTTATTCGGCAGGACTTTCTGGGAGCAGGTTTCATGGTCCTCTTTTTCCTCTCAGAAAAAGAATGCAATTTTTTGGACTTTGTATTCCAAAGAGCTGACCTGTAGAGGCTTAGAATATATGGGATATCATACCAAGGTACTGTGCTTTGCCATTAGCCAAATACATTGCTTATGTCTTGCCCTGTGAACACTAAATTATAAAAATCTATCTTGTTGGTCCTCACCCATCTTCTCATGGTGGTAGTGCCTTCTGGAAGTTTAGTAAATATGTCTGAAGAAGCTTCTGAAAGTGTGGAAGATGACAGATTCCCAGCCATTCTGGAATGAATTAATTAGGCCTAGTAGTAAGTTCCTTGTTCCAGAAAGACATGCTAATGTATCTGAGTGCCTGGAATAGGGTGTCACGACACGGGGATGAGCATCAGAACAACCCTTCCACCGCTGTCCTCAGAGCACTGATGCCAGGAATCTGCGATTTTCAGGGTAAGATGCTCCCAAGCGGTTTCTGTGATTCACAGAAATAGATGGTGCAGCATAACTGTGGCTTTAGAGATTCCTCTCCAGCAGACTTCTGGGTGATGGGCTGCTGATTCTTCCCTGCAGGGACCTTGGAGGAAAATCAATACTTGCATCCCCTCCTTTTGAAGATCAACATCAGCTTGTACGAGGTAGGGAGGTGCTGTGGCTTCTTCTGTCAGTTTGTCAAACAAGTCATTCTATGTATCAGCCACTGAAAGAAGTAGTTGTTAAAGTTGTACCTGTGCAACAGCAAAAGAATCTTGATTTTTGGAGAAGAATGAGACAAAACCTTCATACTCCTCTCCTCTGAAGAGCCTCCTAGCCTACGAAGTCGTAGTGTTCTGTTTCCCTTGTTACAAGTTTTGGATAAATGGTATTTGTGAGTTGTTATAATGTTTCATTTCACCTTTAGAATTCTAAGACGTGCTAGTCAATCTTTCTGCGGGAGAGAGCTTGTTCCTGGGGAGCGGTGCCTGTGTCCCTGAAAGGTTAGGTTAATGTGGTGTGTCTGCTCATGGAAAGGGAGACCTACAAGGTATCCAGCTTTTAAGGCTACTTGCCTTTTACCTGGTGTAGGTTTCTGTGGCAAATGGGGCTATTACTTGGATCTCTTTGTGGTTTCCTGTTCTTTTCCATTGCCAGAGTTGTTAAGCTCAATCGTGATCCTCTCCCACCTGTGGCTGATAGCTGGTCATGGGACAGACAAACCATGAATGGAGCATCCCTTGTCCTCCCCTGTTTCCTGACTGTCTTGCAGATGAATCCATAGTCTGACTTTATGTTCCACACTGCCTGATAAAAGATCTATTCTATAACCCATAAGTGTTTCTAATTCCTCACAGTGAGCCTCTCACCTTTCTTTATGTAATA